GGCCGGGCGGGAGAGCCGCCGCTGCCTCGACTGGCCCTCCTCCGAGATGATCCCCGCGCACTCGCCGTCGTGGCTGACGACCGGCAGGTGCCTGAGCCCCATGCCTCCGGAGGCCGCCCGAGCGGGGTCCGAGCCAAGTGGGGTCGGAGGACCGCGCCGCATCGGCCTCGGAGACAGCAGGACCTGGGATCGACCCGCATCGGCGACGCAGTGGCGATGCAGCGCGATGCTCCGAACCCATTGACGCGGAGCCCCGTTTGGGCGGCGCTGGATGCCTCGGAACAGCATGTGCACGCGCATGACGGCTGGTGGCGAGGAAGAGAGGCCGAGGCAGGAGAGGGGCGGCCTTCCAATGAGGGCAGGGGGGCCTCGAAAGGAGGCTGTGACGCACAAGGACATACTAGCACTACGTGTCCTCCTTGGAGGCGTGCGTCCGACTCGAACAGGGAGCGCCGGCCACCGCGCAAATACCACAAGATTTCTCGACTGGCGCGTCGCCCCTGGGAGGGCGACGCACACATAGTACTAGTACACGTCGTTCACGTCTAATCGTGCTCATTTCTAATTGCGCTCGTTCCTCATTGTTCCTGGCTCCCTAGTGGCCAGGAAGAGGCCCAGAATTGAACAAAAATCGAAGAACTTTCGAAGAATAAGAAATGAACAAGGGGTAGGTTGGCTAGCCGCCGAGGATCGAGCCCTGAGGAGCCGTGCGCGCCACACCGTCAGAGAAGCGAGGGGGGGGTGACCTCCTGGAAGGCGGCCGCCCTCCCCGCCCTGCGCCCCGACGATTGACAGAACGCCCTTTCGCAAGACCGAGGGGGCCCAGGGACACAAACCCCAGGAGTCCCCAAATCTGTCCATAGTGTATGCTTTTTCGTCTTCCCTCCACTTCCAATACTTTCCCAGATCTTCCTTGGGATCGACGAATAATTGTGTCTGTGTGCTTTTTCTCCTCCTGAAAGACGCCCTTCGGTCACAGCTGCCAGGTGCACTCCACGTGCGCACGGCACCGCCTTCGGGGCGGACAGCGGAGTAGCTCATCAACGTCCAAAAACAACTGGATGCATCCGGCGAGACGAACGTTGGATACGTAGCAAAACCGACTGGGACTGCACCGGCACTTTTTCCGTCGCAGCACGGCAGAGGCAATTCGCACGGGCGCTCGCAGTAGTCGGGGTCGCTCGACTAACTAATCCCACCAGCTCTCTGGGCGTAGGTGGTCTAGAGCGCTTCCTCTTCCAACCCCCGTCTTCCCCTTCGGGGAGGGGGTTCCCACTCCCCCTGGACGGGGCGCCCCGCGGTCAGTTAGAGCGCCCAAGATGACCCAAGACGGCTCCAAGAGCGCCTCGGAGAGCCCAAGATGACCTCCAAGATGGCTCAAGATAGCGCCAGTTGCCGCAAGATGGCTCCCAAGATGCTCACGGCTCCAAGAGGCCTCCGAGACCCCCAAGGAGGCACCGAAGAACCAAAAATCCTGCAAAGCCTAATGAAAATCAACGATTGTTGTATGATCGCCTTCTTGCTTTCGATGGCCTTCCGAGTCCTCAAGATGGCTCGAAGATGGCCCCAGAGAGCCCCAAGAGAGGCCCAAGAGAGCCCCAAGACAGCCCCAAGAGCGCTCAAGAGCGCCCCAAGGACGCCCCAAGAGCGTCCCAAGAGGCGATTGTTGGGGCTCTCCGCTAATTAAAGCTCCACTATTGTTGGATTGATGTCCTCCAAGATGGCCCCAAGAGCGGGCCTAAAGCTCCCAAGATCGCCCCAAGCGGGCCCCAAGAGGCGCCCTGACGGCCCGAAGGGCCTTTCAAGAGGCCTCCAAAAGGCTCTCAAGAGACCCTTAAGAGGCTTCAAGGGGATCCTCGAGGCACCCAAGACGCTCAGAGACGGCCTTGGGCCCGCCAAGATGCCCCCCCCAGACGCCCCAAGAGGTTTCCAATTTGGTTGTCGCGCGTGCAGATCTCTCCTGGCCCATGAAGTGACCTTGGAAAACAACTGGCCAGGAACTTTCCTATGTGGAAATGCTAGCTGTGATTGCACTGCCTATCGCTCATCGGCGCATAGAGCCCACGCAAACAATACCCCAAGAGGCTCCTCCGAGGCACCCAAGACGCTCCAAGAGGACTCCAAGAAGCTCTCATGAGACATCCGAAGAGACTCCGAGAGACATCCTAAAGGCCTCTGGCCTTTCTGCTCGCATCCTCATCCTCTTTTTCCTCCTCCTCCTCCTCATCATCATCATCATCATCAGCAGCAGTAGCAGCAGCATCAGCATCAGCATCATCAGCATCATCAGCAGCATCATCATCAGCATCATCATCCTCTTCCTCTTCCTCCTCCTCCTCGTCTGTCATCCTCCTCCTGCTCCTTCTCCTCCTCCTCCTCCTCCTCCTCCTCCTCCTCCTCCTCCTCCTCCTCCTCATCATCATCATCATCATCATCATCATCATCATCATCATCATCATCATCATCATCATAATCATCCGCCTATCTCTCCTCCTCCTCCTCCTCCTCCTCCCTCCTTCCTCCCCCCAATCCCCCCTCCCCCTTCCTCCTCATTCTATTCCTCCGATTCCTCCTCCATCCTCCTCCTCCTCTTGGGGTATGATGGCTCCCTCAGCCCTTCATTCCACTGCACGCTCCTCGACATCCCTGATCAGGGCAACTCGCCCGGGCATCGTTTCTGGATGGGCTGGTGGGGTCACGCGAAGCATCTAGAATTGTTCGGATGCAAGAGGGGGGGGGGGCGGGAAGGGAGGGCGGCCGTGGAGAGAGCGGGAGAGGGGGGAGAGCACTGCACAGGGGAACTGCACCGGCACACTCGGATGACGCTGCCGAGTTAGCCGTTGCAGATGTCCCCATGCGGCTTGGCTGGGTGGGCGCCCTCTCCATGCCCAAAGGGCTCCCCTGCGCGCGCCGCCAGGGATGGACGCGTGCTCCGGCACGGTGTAGCAGCCCTGGTTCGCGAAGGGGGAGAGATCGATCCTCTTCTCCAGGTCGTCCGGCAGGACGGTCGGCGGCGCGCCGAGGGGGGAAGGCAGAGGGTTACGTCGGGCCTGTCCCCCTACAGGGGGATTTAGGACGAAAAATAAAAAATAGAAGTTGGAGCCCCTAGGAAAGCAGCATTAATTGCTATGCTATGCTATGCTATGCTATGCCATGCTATGCTGCATTATGCTATGCTATGATATGCTATGATATGCTGCGCTATGTTATGCTATGCTATGCTATGATATGCTAAACTATGATGTGTCATGCTGCGCTGTGATATGCTATGCTATGCTATGCTATGATATGATGTGATATGATTTGGTATGATGCGTTATGCTATGTTATGCTATGTTATGATATGATATGATATGATATGATATGTGTTGATATGCTATGCTATGCTATGCTGCGTTATGCTATGATATGATTGGCTATGGTATGCTGTGCTCTGCTATGCTAAAACTCAGCGAAACTAAGATGAAGGTAAGCTAAACTAAGATAAACCTGAGCTAAAAGCTAAGCTAAGCTAAGATGAATTCAGCTAAGCTAAGATGAGATAAGCAACGCTAAGCTAAGGGGACGTAACTGGGGAAACCGCGGGGCGGATACTGGGGGAACCGCCCGGGCCGGTTCCCACTGCCCGGCCCTTTAAGCCGAGAGAGTAAGAACCCTTCTAGGCAGAGCCTAGGTAGGGAAAAGTGCCCAAGAGATGCCCCAAAATACTCAAAAAACAGCCCCCGGACTATTGTATGACTGTTTTTGAATGTTCCCCCTATTGAGGGGGAGTGGGAGGAGGAGGAGAAGGAGGAGGAGGAGGAGGAGGAGAATGTAGGATAATGGAGGAGCGAGGAGGAGGTTGAGGAGGAGGAGGAGGAGGAGGAGGAGGAGCAGGAGGAGGATGATGATGAGGAGGTGCGAAAAGTGTTGAGGACTGATGAGAGGTGAGGAGGGCCGAGGAGGATCGGGATGGAAGAGGGGTAAGGAGAGAAACAGGGGGCGGCGGGCCTTCTCGCTCGGAGGAGGCCTCCCGCCTTCTCCGAGGGCAGAGGGCGGCGCCCGAGAGAGCCAGAGGGCTCCCGAGAGGAGCCCCGCCGCCCTCTCCGAGAAGGCCCGCCCCCGCTCGGACGCCCGGCGGGTCTGGGGTCACGAAGCGGCTCTCCAGAGGCCCTTCGGGGCGGTGCGGGCACCCCCAGAACGCGCTCGGCGAGGCGCAGCCGCTGGAGCGCATCCCGAGGCCGGAGAACCGCCGGGAACCGACGGAGGTGCCCGAAGGCCCCGAGCCTGGAGCCTCGCGTTTCCCCCCTCGGCGCGCCGCCGAGACGAAGCCGCGGACCTCGGAGAGCGCGTGGGCGTGGCGGTCGTCCCTCCACGGGATCGAGGGCGGCGGCTGCGCCAGCTCGCCCGCGGGCGGCTGGAAGACGCCACGCGCACGCCCGCTCTCGAGGAGCTGCAGCAGCGTGGAGCGCTTGACCTGGAGGAAGAGAAAAGCGCAGACACGTAAGCTTAGGTCGGGCATGTCCCCCGACAGGCCGATTTTGGACGAAAAAATAAAAAATATTCAAAAAAGAATAAAAAAAGTCAAGAATGGTTTTAAAAAAGATCGTCCCCAGACTATTTTTCTACTATTTTGAATACTCCTCCTGTAGAGGGACAGGCCCGACTTAAATGTAACCTCGAGAGCTCGAGAGCTTGCGTAGCCATGCCGTGCAGTCAACCCGCATCGATATAAGGATGCAAGGGGCTGGGAAGGCCATGTCGACACTGTGCGAGCGGGGCGCGGCCAGCGAGAGCGGCCAAGGATGGCCTGAAGGGGAAGGATGCAAGGGTGACCTTGGAAAGACCCTCATCCTTACTATGCGGGTTGACTGGATGGCCGTCCTTTTACTCCTCGATGACCAGCCCCACGAAGCGGCCGTCGGCGTCCAGCACAGGGAAGGCGTGGTGGGCGCAGCCCTCCAGCGTCTCCAGCACGACCCGCACGCGCTCGACCACGGCGAGGGTCACGGGGCTCTCCCTCATGACGTCCCGCGCGTGCACAACGATGGTGTCCTGGTCTGGGCTGCCTTCCAGCATAGGCCAGCCGTTCTGGTGGATCTGTATGTGATAGACTTGGAAGCGGCCGGGGGGTCTGCACTGCATGGGCCCCAAGAAGATCGACCAAGAGGGAAGACGACAGCAAATCCGCACAAGATCGGCCCCCGGACCCCTCCGGGAGTCAAAGCTGACCAGTTTCTGTAGCCGCGTCCAGCCGCGGCGGCAAGGGATCCCCTTTCTCCCCCCCTTCCTGCTGGCCGGAACCAGTGCTGGGCCACCTCAGCCCCACAGCTGGCTCCAAGTGATAGACGCCCTCATTGAAGACGTCCCCCGCCCACTTCGCACACATGGTCGTGACGAAGATCGGCACGGCCCAGAGCGTGGAGCCGCTGGCCTCGATGAGGATGGCGGCCAGCGAGATCGTGATCCGGGCGTTGCCAGCCAGCAGCGCCGTGGCCCCCACGAGGGCGTACACTCCGGCGTCCGACGTTCCCTCAACGTCGCTCTGGACAGAAGAAGAAAACACCGCAGCAGCATGAACTTTTCGGAGCTCCGCGCGGACGTCTCGGATCGGCGCTGCCCCCCCTCCCAGGCGCGCGGAGCGCGCCAGGGGCGGCGCTGGGGGCGTCGTCAGGGGGACCACAGCGCCGATCCGAGAAATCCGCGCGGAGCTCCGACTTTGTTGCGTCGACGAGCGGCGAACATATCTGCATCCACGCCCTCGCGGTCTGGGCTCTGGGGCACGATCCCGCAGATACGCGGTCGCACGGATACTTTTAGTCAGCGGCCGCAGGCGAGCGCGCCAGCGGCGAGTCCAGTCAGGGCGAGGCGGGCAACGACGAATCAACCGAAAGCGGTGGGCCGAAGCCTCACGCGGCACCTCAGCGACCAGACAGGCGAGCCGCACGGATACGCGACGCGCGGGGCAGCTGCGGAAGAGATGCTTCGCACCCGCAGAGTCACGGCCCAGGGTCCCGACCCGCGAGGCCGCGGATACGAATAGAGTCTCGGCCGCGAGCTGTGCCGTCTTGTCTCCTTCGCCTGGAGGCCAAAGGGGCCCGACAGGGCCTCGCCCGCCAGGCGCCCGAAGGCCGCGCCGGCCAGCAGGGACGGCACGAACAGGCCGCTGGGCACGCCGGCGCCGTAGGTCCAGCAGGCCATGGCGTAGTAGAGGACGCCGAACACGAGGAGGCCGCCCTTGTCGAACTCGCCCTCTTCGTGGAATCCGCCATCGTGACCGGCGGCGCGCTGCGAAGCGAGGCCCCCACGCGGGAGGAAGGGGGAAGGCCTGGACGGGAGAGGAGTGGAACGGTGCATTGGACAGGGGAGGGGGAAGGACAGCGAGGAGGCCCGAGGCGGCGCATTAAGCAGGGGAGGAGGAGGAGGAGGAGGAGGAAGGAGGAGGGAGGGGCGGGGGGGCCGAGACGAGGCATTGGACATGGAGGGGGGTGCGAGACTCACAGCCCAGGCACGGAGGTCCTGCCTGGCCCAAATGCACTAGAAATCGGTCCCCCGGACCCCTCCTGGAGTCATCCTGGCCCGTTCTCCAAGGCGGATCCAGCCGTGGCGACGAGAAGCCTCCAGGAGGCTCAAGAGGGCCGAAAAACACCAGAGAGGGCCACGGTCGTCTCGGCTGGCCCTTTTCCGAGAGGCGGAACTGGCCGAAGGCCATCGGCTGGATAGCCGATAGCCCATCCAGGAGGGACCTTCGCGTCAGGGGAAGGGGTTGGGGCTTGCAGGGGCCCCTGTGACAGGGGGTCCCCAGGGCCAGCTCGTCACCCTCCGGGTTCTGACAGCCCCGGAGCCCGAGACTGGACCCCGGAGGCCGAAAACGGCGCAGAAGCTGCGCCACGATCTGTTGAAGACGTTGGTGTCTGGGCACGTCCCGGACACGAAGGCGTCTCTCATCATGAGCGCTTTCTCTGACGGCCCGTCCGTCATGACTTGTTCATCGCATGGCGCGAGGAGGTTTCGGTCTGGCGGTCGAAACTCGACCCCGGACCTCTCTGGAGGTGAATTCTGGCCCGAATTTCGGAATCTGGCCGCGGCGACGAAGAGCCCCCCGGAGGCCCGAAAACCGCGAACGACTACCAGAAACCTCGAGGCTCGAATCTTGAACCTCGAACCTCGGACCTCGGGCCCTGACATCCGCCGACCTGGTTCTTCCCCAACCCCTTCCCTGGGGCCAGTTTTTCTCGTTCTGGATCTCTTTTGTTATGGCGCTGGGGCCCGCCAACGAGCTCCAGACGCCGAAATCGAAGAAAAACGCTCAGATTCAAAGAATCATATCGTCGGAGATCTGCAGGGCTCCCCCGCGCGCACCGCGATCCTCTTCTTCTTCTTCTTCTTCTTCTTCTTCCTCCTCCTCCTCCTCCTCCTCCTCCTCCTCCTCCTCCTCCTCCTCCTCCTCCTCCTCCTCCTCCCTCCTGCCTCCCTCCCTCCTCCTCCTCCCTCCCTCCCTCCCTCCCCTCCCTCCTCCTCCTGCTCCTCCTCCACCTCCTCCTCATCAGCATCATCATCATCATCATCATCATCCCATCATCATCATCAGCATCATCATCATCATCATCATCATCATCATCATCATCATCATCATCCTCATCATCATCATCATCATCATCATCATCCATCATCCTCCTCCTCCTCCATCATCGTCATCATCATCCGCAGCAGAGCATCATCATCCTCTCATCATCATCTCATCATCATCATAATCCATCATCATCATCACAATCATCATCATCCTCATCTTCATCATCATCATCATCATCATCATCATCTCATCATCATCATCATCATCATCATCATCAATCATCATCTCTTCCCTTCTCCTCCTCCTCCTCCTCCTCGTACCTCCTCCTCCTCCTCCTCTTCCTCCTCCTCCGCCTCCTCCTCTTCCTCCTCCTCCACGCTCCTCCTCCTGCTCCTCCTCCTCCTCCTCCTCCTCCTCCTCCTCCTCCTCCTCCTCCTCCGCATCGTGGCTAGCGGGCACGCTGGAGGGGCCAGTATGCTGGAATTCGGGGGCGGGCGCCTTGGGCGCTCTCCTGGCAGGGGCGTGGTGTCCCCGGGGGAGCGTCACTTGCCGCATCCATGTGCGCGTCGGCAGTCGGCGCAGGGTTCCTGGGGGAATCACCGGTGGCCGCTGTGGCAGCTTCCACGCGAGTGGTGTAGTCGGAGATTGCGTGCAGGTAGTTTTTGAGGGCTTGGTAAATGCCCCCATTGCACGGGGGAGGCGGACAGGGTCAAAGTCGCACTCGCCCCCCCTGCGGGGTATGGGGAGGGTATCTGCGAGCGTCTCGCCAGCCTCGAGGGCGGCGATCGCGGCCCTCTTCTTCTCAGGAGGAGACAGCCGCATCCAGGCCCAGAGAAAGCCGGGCTCCTAGGCCAAGTGGAAGTGTAGCCTAGGAATGTGCCCAGGCTGTGCTGGAGAGGGTTCCCAGCGCATCCTGCCTCGGCTGCGCTGATGCAGGAGTGCCCGAGGCGCTTGTCGGAGTCCCGCACGATGGCGGCCGCTTGCAGCCGCAGGGGATCATGCAACTCGCACTCGCAATAGAGGGGGGGGGGGGGGGGGGCGAAGATCGGCCGGCAGGCACTGGGTCTGCTCGACATGAAAAGCGACAGCGAGGAAATTTGCCAGGTCCCTGCGGCAGTGCTGCCGGGGGTCGGCCTTCACGTTGCTGCCATAGTCGTGGTAGCGGCAGTCGTTCCGCTCAGCCTCACCTCCGGGGGCGCACTTGCGCACGACCTCTGTGGCCTGGACCAGGAGGTCCCAGCCAGGGCGGTTTTTGGGCAGGCCCCAGAAGTCTGGAAGGATCGAGGGCGGGCGGGGTGCCTGCATGGGTAAAGGGATATGGGCCTTGACCAGGAGGGGTCAGGCAGCGCGGGTGTGGGGCCGACGTCTACGACATCGGCGGCGGCCGCAGCGGGCCCCGCACCGCGGGACGGTGGTGCCGCGGTGGGTTTGTGACGGGCAGTCCAGCCGCTCCAGGGGTCGGGCCCAGCGCTGCTGCTCGCAGCGCCAGAGGTGCTGGTCCCGTCGGGCTGGGAAGTGCTGGCAGGGCTGGGAGCAGGAAGCGCTCCCGCGGGGGGGGGCAGGCGCAGGGCCGCCGCCGCTTGGGGGATCGAGCGAATCTGCGAGGCACGCGACGCAGTCGCGGCCGTGAGGGCAAACGGTCCAGGGCTCGTCCCGCTGGCTGTGCACTGCCAGGCCTTCTCTGCGGTAGCCAGCCTGCTCTGCGGGGGAGGAGCGAGTCGGGCCCCCTCCAGCGCTGCCCCCGTGCTGCTGCCTGGCATAGGCCTGCCAGGCGAGGTCACCGGGGCGGTTAGGGTCCCCCCGTTTGCCCCGGTGGGAGCTGACCCACTTAACGAAGGCGCCAACGGGCTCGCGGAAGTCAAGCGGCGCACGGGGGGGGGAGGCGTAGTTGACCGCACGGAGTTGGCGGTGTCTGCCTGCGCAGGAGGGCTGCCCCAGGAAAGCCGACTGGCTTTAGCCCGGAGGCACGGGGTCGTGCCCTCGGCTCGGGTGTCGGCCTCGGCGTCGGCGGGGTTGGCCAGGTCTGCTGCGGGGGCGGCACTCGAGGCCGCAAGTCGGAGAAAGGCACACTCGCGGGGGTAAGGCGCAGTGGCGGGGCTGGCCTCCACCGGATCGGGGGTCTGGCCCTCGGGGGAATGGAAACATTCCCAGAGGTAACGCGCTTCCACGTCGGTCTTCGGAAGGGCGGACAAGGTTCCGCGTACTGCCGGTTCGCCAGAAGCGGGGTCTTGGAGATCAGCGACACGGGCGAAGAGGGGGGAATCGGGGGGCTCAACTCCCTCTGCGGAGCCGGGGCCGCCCCCTGAAGCGTTCCCCTCGCCGCCAGGTGCGGCCAGTGCCGCACCGCTGTCGCGTGCGCGCTGCACCGCATCAGCTGCAGCAGCCTGCGCAACTGGGGGGAGGAGAACGGCGGAGGCCTCCAGCAGGATGCTGTCGCACGTGTCTGGAGTGACGCCCCACGAGACGCAGAGGCAACACTTGCACTGGAACTGGCAGCTCCAGACCCGGGAGATAAAGGCCGCGGTCGCTGTGTAGGGGGAGCCCATGCTCGAGCTGGCACCCCTGGCCAGCAGGACAGCGGAAGACGGGGGGCAGCCTGTGGGGGGTCACCAGGCTGCCACCTGCCTGCAGGCCGCATGCAGGTGTCGCACTCGACCGAGTGGTTAAGGCCGAACCGCGAGTCATGCTTCAGTTGGGAGGGCAGGGTGGCGTCTTGGTTCGCGGGGTCTTCCGCATCGGTGACATCCACGGGGTAATGCTCGAAGCGGAAGGTCCCGAGGGGCAGGGGGTCGGGCAGAGGGGAAATCCTGGCCACGGGGACGGGCTCGGCAGAGGTCCACCCATCTCTGCGGGAGCGCCGTCCTCCAGTGATCTGGTGACTGCCGGGCAGGCTGCATCGCGCGTGCACTGGTACCCGGCGTTTTGCGCGTGTTCGATGGTCAGGGTGTTAAGGCACGGGAGACAGCACCACCGACCATTGCACCGCCCCGTTGCCCACAGATTAGCGCGATTGGTCGCCAGAGAGTTGGCCATGGTGCGGTCCGACGAGCGTACCTGAAAAAGGACCCGTCTTGCACTCATCGCACTGGAAATGCTGGTTGTGTAAGGAGAACCGGCGATCGAGGTACGCAGGGGGGAGCTGCTCCGGCACGCGGACGACACCGGCAGGCACGATGGGGCACGGGTCGACACCCATCATCCGCCCCTGCGCGTCGGCGAGGGGCTCCTCAGGAAGAGCCGCGGGGGGAGGGGAAACACCAAGGGTCCAAAGCCAATAGCACAACGAGCACCCGGTGGCGGGGTAAGGCAACGGAGGAGGGTGCGCGCCTTCATCACCCCTCCAGAAGCGCTCGAAGCCCTCGGTGGCCCTCTCGGGGGTGGGGAGGCTAGCCAGTCCTGGAGGGAGCCGTTCTGGGCCCCCTCCACGGACGTGAGGGCCCCATCCCCGTCAGAGCAGATGACGAGCTCACGGACCCCTCGTGGCAAAGCTCCGAAGTCGGCCAGCATGTCAGGGGCCTGTGCCGGGGTCCACTCGTGCCTGTGAGAGGGCGAAGTCACGGACGGAGTGGCACAGCGTGTCCCAAGGCGCACAGATGCCGACGATCGCCTCAAAGAGGTCGCCCGTGGCAGAGGGACTGCGGAGAAGGGGGGAAGCGCCGTATCCACTTCGCTGTACACCCAGAGAGCATAAAGGATACCGAGCGCCTCCTGAGGGTGAGGGGGTCAGCAAAGCAGGCGCCAGAGCGCTGACTTTGTGCCGGGTGCACGCCTGGGTAGCCGCGGATGGGAGCAGCCTGGCGAAGGCGCTTGGGAACGGGAGCTAAACTCCTCCTCCTCCTCCTCCTCCTCCTCCTCCTCCTCCTCCTCCTCCTCCTCCTCCTCCTCCTCCTCCTCCTCCTCCTCCGCCTCCTCCTCCTCCTCTGACATGGATCCGTCGGGGGCTCCTCCGAGAGGCGGCATTGGCCGAAGGCCACCGGACAGAGACCGCAGACTGTCGGTGCCCGGCGCACGATACAGCCGGGAGGCGGCGCTTCCCTCCGAGGTTGCCGCTGGCACGACGAAGGCCACGGAGGAGACGACGAAGGTGATCGCCAGCACCTGGCCAACGGAGGCGGAGAAATTTTAGTTCGCTACGCCGGATCTCAGGGGAGGCGGAGGCGGAGGCCCCCGTTCCTCCTCCTCCTCCTCCTCCTCCTCCTCCTCCTCCTCCTCCTCCCTCCTCCTCTCCTCCTCCTCCTCATCCTCCTCCTCCTCCTCCTCCTCCTCCTCCTCCCCCCACCACCTCCTCCTCCCACCTCCACCTCCACCTCCGCCTCCACCTCCTCCTCCTCCTCCTCCTCCTCCATCCTCCTACTGCTCCTGCTCCTGCTCCTGCTCCTCCTCCTCCTCCTCCTCCTCCTCCTCCTCATCATCATCATCATCATCATCATCATCATCATCCTCCTCAACCTCCTCCTCCTACTCCTTCTCCTCCGCATTATCCTCCTTCTCCTCCTCCTCCTCCTGCTCCTCCTTCTCCTCCTCCACACATCCCCCGACGTGTCGTGATCGGTAGGGCGGGCCAGGCGTTTCGCTGGAGTCGTCCTCACTATTCATGATCCTGGAGATTGATATTTACAACAATGTCAGTGATGGAGGACGGGTGGATTTCACAATGCCGTTTTCGCCAGAGTGCCGCGCACATTCGTTCTAGAAAGTTCGCAACTCCTTCTAGGATGGAGGGCGGGTGGTTTTCAAAATGCGGCTCGCGCCTGAGCCCCACGCACACCTCTGTGAAAGTTTACAACATCTTCCAGGATGGAGGGCGGTTCCTTTCAAACATGTGGCTCCCGCCTTCGCGCCGCGCGCACGCGCCATTGAAGTTCGCAACACTTTCTGGGATAGAGGGTGGCTTCCTTTCAACATGCGGATATCGCCAGAGCACCGCGCACGTTCGTTTTTGTAAGCTTGCCACATGCTCAAGGATACGGGGCGGTTATGTTAGAAATGACGCTCTTTCCTTAGCGCGGCGCACTTTCGTTTCAAAGTTTGCCACGTGTTCAAGGAATCGTAGGGTTTGGATCCCATGAGTGTTGTTATGGAGCGGTTAAAGATTGTCAGTACGCAATTGTCACGTCGATTCGCGGTTTTGAAATCCCAGGAAGGGCGTTCTGGCACCGTTTAGGATTGTCAGGACGCAACAGTCGCGTCGATTCGCGGCGTGCAAGTCCCAGTACTGGTGTTTCGGTACGATCGAGGATTCTGAGGCGGTTGTCTTCAACGGGGCATTTCCCGCAATGCGGAAGATCCGGTGTGCGGGCCGATGAAGAGGAAATTTGGAGGAAGCTGGTATTGAAACATTGTTGATGCGTCGCGGGTTGACACTGGTTCCACTCCTCCTCCTCCTCCTCCTCCTCCTCCTCCTCCTCCTCCTCCTCCTCCTCCTCCTTATTCTTGTTCCTCCTTCTCGTCCTCCTCCTCCTCCTGATCCTCCTCCTTCTCCTCCTCTTTCTCCTCCTCCTCGTCCCTCGCCTCCTATTAATAAACCTCATGTTCCTCCTCCGATCCCTCATTGTCATCGTCATCATCATCATCATCATCATCATCATCATCATCATCATCATCATCATCAGCAGCAGCAGCAGCAGCAGCATCATTATCCCCACCATCATCAGCATCATCATCACCACCATCTTCATGAGCAGCAGCATCATCAGTATCATCATCATCCTTCTCCTCCTCCTCCTCCTCTTCTTCCTCCTCTTCCTCCTCTTCCTCCCACTCATTCTCCTCGTCCTCCTCATCATCATCATCATCATCATCATCATCATCAAATTCCTCCTCCTCCTCCTTCACCTCCTCCTCATCCTCACCCTCCTCCTCCTCCCCCATCCTCCTCCTCCTCCTTCTCATCCTCCTCCTCCTCCTCCTCTTCCTCCTCCTCTTCCTCTTCCTCCTCCTCCTCCGCCTCCGCCTCCTCCTCTCCTCCCCCTCCTCCCTCCTCCTCTCCTCCTCCTCTCCTCTTCCTCCTCCTCCTCCTCCTCTCCTCCTCCTCTTCCTCCTCCCCCTCCTCCTCCTCCTCCTCCTCCTCCTCCTCCTCCTCCTCACTCCTCCTCCTCATCCTCCTCCTCCCCTCCTCCTCCTCCTCCTCCTCCTCCTCCTCCTCCTCCCCGTCCTTCCTCCTCATCCTCCTCCTCCTCCTCCTCCTCCTCCTCCTCCTCCTCCTCCTCCTCCTCCTCCTCCTCCTCCTCCTCCTCCTCCTCCTCCCTCCTCCTCCTCCTCCTCCTCCTCCTCCTCCTCCTCCTCCTCCTCCTCCTCCCCCCTCCCCCTCACCCTCCCCCATTCCCCCTCCCCATCCCCCTCCCTTCCCCCTCCCCCTCCCCCCACCCCTCCTCCCCCCAGTCCTCCCCCACTCCTCCTCCTCCTCCTCCTCCTCCTCCTCCTCTCCTCCTCCTCCCTCCTCCTCCTCTCCTCCTCCTCCTCCGCCTCCTCACTCCTCCTCCTCCTACTCAACCGCCTCCGCCTCCGCCTCCGCCTCCTCCATTCTCCTCCTCCTCCTCCTTCCTCCTTCCGCTCCTCCTCCCTTCCTCCTCATCATCTGCATCATCATCAACATCATCATCCTCATCCTCATCCTCATCATCTCCTCTCCTCATCCTCATCCTCATCCTCATCCTCATCCTCCATCCTACTAGCCTCCTATTCCTCCTCCTATTCCTCCGCACTCCTCCTCCTCCGCCTCCTCCTCCTCTCCTCCTCCGCCTCCTGCCTCCTCAAGCTCCTTCCTCCTCCTCCTCCTCCTCCTCCTCCTCCTCCCCTCCCCTCCCCCCTCTACTCCATCCTCCTCATCCTACCATCCTCATCCTCCTCCTCCTCCTCCTCCTCCTCCTCCTTCTCCTCTCCTCCTCCTCCGCCTCCTCCTCCTCCTCATCCTCCTCCTCTTCCTCTTCCTCATCATCAGCATCATCATTCGACAACATCATCATCATCATCATCATCATCATCATCATCATCATCATCATCATCATCATCATCATCATCATCATCATCATCATCATCATCATCATCGCATCATCATCATCATCATCATCATCATCAGCATCAGCATCAGCATCATCCTTTCATCTTCTCATGTACCACGCCCAACAGCATCATCATCATCATCATCATCATCATCATCATCATCATCATCACCACCACCACCAGCACCACCACCACCACCACCACCACCATCATCATCATCATCATCATCATCATCATCATCATCAGCATCATCCTCATCATCATCGGCATCATCATCATCAGCAGCAGCATCATCATCATCAGCGTCATCATCCTCATCATCCTCCTCATCCTCATCATCCTCATCATCACCATCAGCATCATCAGTATCATCATCACAAGCATCATCGTCCTCATCATCAGCATCATCAGCAGCAGCATCAGCATCATGAGCATCATCATCATCATCATCATCAGCATCATCATCATCATCATCATCATCATCATCATCATCATCATCATCATCATCATCATCATCATCATCATCATCATCATCATCATCATCATCATCATCATCGGCATCGTCATCATCAGCAGCATCATCAGGGGGGGCAAGTTGAGACAACGACGGCCAGCCGTGGCGTTCATCGTTTCGCTTTTGGGCCTCCTTCAGGCTGGTCTGGTCGTCGCCGCGGCAGAATCCGCCTCGAAGAGCGTGCCGAGACGGACCGGGTCGTGGGCGAAAAGAAGATCCGTGTCCACGGCTCGCGGGCCGTGCCCCTGGGCCGCGACACCGCGGATACGGGTCGTTTTCTCGCGGATGCCCCCCGCGGAGCGTATCCGTGCGGCCGCGTATCCGCGGGAGAGCGCCCCTGAATCCACACCGCGAGGGCGTGGAAGCCCCGCGCCGCGCTGTGGGCTCCCAGGCAGGCGGTGCTGCCCTGCGAGGGAAGGGAGAGAGAGAGAGAGAGAGAAAATAAAAAAACAAAAACAAAAAAAACAAACAAAAAAAAAGTACTGGGATTGGCGCGGGGGGGGGCTGAGGGGATAGGGAGGTGATCAGTGGATGCCAAGGTGGGCTATATCTGGCCTGACCTAGCTTGTAAATGGGCTACAAATGCCCAAGTTGCTTAGTCACGAGCCGGGCTAAGTGGGCGGAGCCCTCTTAGCGGAGCCATCGAACCCCCTAAGCCATTTGGGACATTTTTAGCCCACTTAAAACCTAGGTCAGGCCAGATATAGCCCACCTTGGCATCCACTGATAACCTCCTCATCCCCACAGCAACCCCCGCGCCAATCCCAGCAGCAAGATGGAAAGGAGGAGCAAGCCGACGGCGGCGAGTGCATAGGTGAGGGGCCGGGGCTGGCGGAGCCGGGAGAGCCAGACCGAGCGGCCAGAGGCGGCGGGAACTTCGCCATGCTGTAGCTGTCTCGTCACGCTCTCTTCTGCCCTGGAGCGGGATGTCACACACACACACACACACACACACACACACACACACAACACACACACACACACACAAACACGCTTTTGGCTTAGGAGGTCGAGGCGAAGCAGAGAACGCGCGGCCCAGCCACTGAGCAGCGAGGGACAGGGATCCACCCATCGGGGATCGACCGTGTCATACGCACACCTGGGCAGGGAGCGTGTAGGGGGCCACACGCGAACCCTACCCCTACCCCCCACGATTTCTGAGGGGGAGGCTGGGGTGCACTTCGCTCGGGAGCTCCCGAAGGAGATGAACCCCACCCCACCCCTAAGAAATCGTGGGGGGTAGGGGTAGGGTTCGCATGTGGCCCCCTTAGCGTGGAAAGGACGGCGGGGGGAAAGACGGCGAAGCACGACGGGCCGTGCCCACAGTGCAGCCTGCCGTGCAGAGAGAAGGGGGCAGGGCGCGGGAGCGGCAGCAGCGGCGCTGCCGCCAGGGAGGAAGGCGAGGACGCCAGCAGGCAGCTACAGTCGGGGCGTTGACCCAAGGAACCCAAAATAAGGAACGAGGCCCCTATTATCCGTAAGGTAAACTTCGATTGCATATCGAAAACCTAAGGCAAACCTGAGGCAAGCTGCGAAACAATCAAGGAACACCGAGCCCCTCCCCAACGAAAAGGGTTCCTTCCTCAGGGCCCCGACTGTTCGGCGAGAAGGCGGCCGAGACACTTTTTTCCCCCATCTCCCCAGGACACTCTCCGGATGAACTGGGCAACCTGCGACACGTCGTCTGGGAGGTCGTGCCCGCCGGCGTGGCGCAGCACCTGCGCGTCCTCGAAGTGCTCGGAGAGCCAGTGCCCCATCCAGCGCAGAAAGAACCAGTCGCGATCCCCGATCACGTGCAGGGAGGGCGTTCTCAGGGCGTCGCCGTGGAAGGCGCCGGCGAGGGCGGCATCGCGCGGGCGGAAGCCGCCGCAGAGGACCGCCAGGCCCAGCGGCGAGCGCAGGGGGCTGCCACCCCGCGCCTGCAGGGCGCACAGGAGGGCCGCCAGGCAGGCGCCCTGGCTGTAGCCCAGCACCCCGTCGAAGGGTCCGCTGGCCTCCTCGAGCAGGCGCAGGTACTCGGCCGCCTGGTCGTAGCCGCGGTACTCGGGCCCCAGCAGGCTGCTGGCCCGCCACCACGGGTGGCTGTGCGCCGGGACGACCAGGTCGCACTCCCGGCGGAGCTCGTCCGCCAGCGGCGCCAGCTGGGCCGCGAAGGACGCCGCATCCTGCCCAAAGCCGTGGAGGCAGAGGATGCGGAGGCGCCGCGCCCGCCCCCCAGCCTCCATCGCGCGCGGGCGCCCGCCGCCGCGGAAGAGGCCCGGCAGCCCCCGCAGGGCGAGACGTCCCGAGCCGCACAACTTGAGCCAAAATGGCTACGGAGCACACGCACACAAAAAGGTTGTGCTGCAGCGACTTCGTGTGCCGAAGAGGAGGGGCAGGTTAGTCGGACAAAGGAGCAGCGGGCCAGCTGGTAAGTTGGGCAGGACACTTGGACAGATGAACCTCTTGGATCAGGAGGCGGAGGCCAGAAATGAGGGTAGTTAAAAACATCTGCTCAATCAGAACTGTTGTACAGGCCCAGCAAAGGCGTGCTTATCCCAGAAGGTCCTCCCTCGTCCTCCTCCTCCTCCTCCTCCTCCTCCTCCTCCTCCTCCTCCTCCTCCTCCTCCTCCTCCTCCTCCTCCTCGGCAGTGCCTGGGGGCCTGCGGATGCCTACGGTCAGGAACTCTTGCATAGCGTGTCGCGACGGCTGCCCTGGCGACACGCCATCCCTTGCCAGCGGATAGCGCGTCGCTCCGCCCCGCGGGCCGGGAGTCTCGGAGCTCGGGACGTCGACGCCTCGGGAGTGGGACGTGGATGGCATGTCGCGCCGAGGCGTGCTGGGCCAGAACCGGCGGCGCGGCACGCGAACCAAAACTCCCCGACCTTCATCGGCAGACCTGCCCGACGACCCACTCACGCGTGGGCCCCGCAGTCGCCTCCCCATGTCGACGGGTTGCCTCTCAGGCCGCAGCAGAGCGATCGAGGGCGGCCGCAGCAGTATCAGACCACACGCTCGAAGTCACAACGGAGCGGAGCGAACGACCACTGGGAGCTGTGAGCCACCAGACGTCAAGGTTTTTGCCTTTTTCGGTTTCATGGGGGCCGTTTTCGGGTCCCTCCCTCCTCGCCCTCCATCCCTCCCTCCCTCCCTCCCTCCCTCCCTCCCTCCTCTCTTCCTCCCGCCTCCCCCTCCCCCTCCTCCCCCCTCCCCCTCCTCCCGCCTCCCCCTCCTCCTCCTCGCTGCCGCCCCCTCGATCCCGGGGCGGCGAGGCCCTTCCTGGGGAGCGCCTCGGCCTAGGAGCAGGGAAAGATCCCCCGAGGGGGCAGGAGCGCCCCGGGGGGCGGCGCGATGAGGCCAGGCCTTCGGGTCCTAGCTTTAAGTTGGGCGTGTCCCCCTACAGAGGGACGTTGGGCGAAAAATAGAAATAATACTCTGAAAAAAACCCAAAAATATTCAAAAATAGTTTTAAAAAAATCGTCCCCTGACTATTTTTGACTATTTTTGAACATTCCCCCTTGTAGAGGGACACGCCCGACTCCATCCTAGCTCGGGCCCCCGACGGCGGCCGTTGAGGACCAGGACGCCATCGGCGAGGCGCAGCTGCTGGAGAGCATCGGCGCATCATGTCTCGCAGGCGGCGACCCCGCCCCGGCACGCCTCGGCCGCACCTGCGGAACCCCTTCGAGCTCGGACCGCCGCCCTCTTGCCAGCGCTTGCGGGAGTGGGTGCGACCACCTTGGGCGGACGTGGCGGCCATCGTGGACCACCTTGGAGGCCATCTTGGGCCGACGTGGCCATCTTGGAGACCATCTTGAGCAGCTTTGGAGGGGATTGTTGGGGGAACTGAGCTCCTGGAAGATCCTCCCAGGACCCCGGCGGGACGGGCCGAAGCCCAAAAGAAAGAGCCAAAACCAAAACCAAAACCAAAAGAAAGAGCCAAAACCAAAACCAAAACCAAAACCAAAACCAACACGCGGCCCCAGGGGAAGCTCTCTTGGAAAAGGAGCCAAAACCAGAACCGAAAGGGTCCAGCACGCCAGGCACCACTGCGATGAATCGACGGGGGGCGGCCGGGCGTGTCCGCCCAGTTTCGGGCGTGTCCGCCCGGTTTCGGGGGAGTTCTTTCGGAAAAAGGGCCAAAACCAAAACCGAAAGGGTCTGGCACGCCAGGCACCTCTGCGACGAATCGACGGGGGGCGGCCAGGCGTGTCCGCCTGGCTTCGGGGCCTGGACCCTCCAGGATGGAGATCTGGCTCGAGAGATGACGCGGAGAGACCAGGCCGACAACCGGAGGGATGGGGGGGGCGGGGAGGGGAAGCCAAGAAGGAGGGAGGGGGGAAGGCACAACACACAAGGAGGAAGGAGCACAAAGGGAAGCAGAAGGGAGAGGACACGGGGAGGAGGAGGTGGGAGGGGCCCTGGGACACACAAAAAAATAGGCACAAAGAAAAGGATTCCCCATACTTTCCCATATGTTCTGGGTTTTCGTCTTCCCCCCACTTCCCATATGTTCCCTATGTTCCGGGAAGTCGACGATTAGTTGTGTCTGTGTGTTGTTTCCCTCCTGGAAGATGGGGTCCAGGGCTCCCGTCGTGGTTTCGCGCGACGTTGCAACTTTTGTGCTGCCTCGGGTCTCAGGGGAGGCAGGGAAGCCGCCGAGAACCCTCGAAAACACGTCCGAAAAACCTCGAAGGCCCTTGAGGCTGGTCCTTGTCCCCGGGCAGCGATTCGGGACGATCCAGGTCACCCCTGGAACGCCTTCGAGGCGCAGCTGTGGGGACGCATCCCGAGGCAAGGGAAACCGCCATGAACCGGCGAGAACCTCCGAAAACCTCGAGCCTCGAGCCTCGAGCCTCGAAGCCTCGAAGGCCCCCCCTAACGATGGCTCTTTCGCGCCCGAGCGGAGCTGGGGGCCCTTCTAGCCCACGCGGCACCTCCAGCAGACGGGGAAGCCCCCGCGGCGGCACGTTCCGCAGGCGCCACCGCCGGATAGCGGAGCTAGCGGAGTTGAAGGCGGCGCCCAGGAGGCCCCCGGCGGCGCCGAGGAGGGCGAACACCGCCAGCTCCTCTAAGCCCACCTCGCCCTCCTCCTCCTCCTCCTCCTCCTCCTCCACCTCCTCCGCCTCCGCCTGCGACTCCTCCTCCGCCTCCACCTCCTTCTTCCTATCATCCTTCTCTTCCTCCTCCTCCTCCTCCTCCTCCTCCTTCTTCTTATTCTCCTCATTATGTTTCTTCTTCTGATTATCATTACTATCATTGTTATTATTAATAATATTATTATTGATATTATTATTATTCTTATTAATATTATTATTAGTATTATTATTATTATCATTATTATTGTTGTTCTTATTAATATTATAATTAGTATTAGTATTATTATTATTCGTAGTATTCTTATTATTATTCTCATTATTATTCTTCTAATTAGTATGATTCGTCTTCTTAGTCTTCTTCATCATCATCATCAGCATCATCATCATCCTCATCATCATCATCGTCATCATCATTATTATCATCATCATCATCATCATCATCATCATCATCATCATCATCATCATCATCTTCATCATCATCATCATCATCAGCATCATCATCATCAACATCAGCATCAACAACAGCATCATCCTCACCATCACCATCACCACCACCATCATCATCATCAGCATCATCATCATCAGCAGCATCAGCATCAGCATCATCGTCGTCATCATTAGCATCATCAGCCTCATCATCATCATTATCATCATCATCATCATCATCATCATCACCAGCATCATCATCAGCATCATCATCATCATCTCCAGCATAATCATCATCATCAGCAGCAGCATCAGTATCAGCATCATCATCAGCACAAGCAGCAACATCTGCATCATCATTATCAGCAGCATCATCATCATGATCATCATCAGCAGCATCAGCATCATCAGCATCATCATCAGCAGCAGCAGACGCATCATCATCATCATGATCATCAGCAGCATCAGCATCATCAACAGCATCATCCTCAACAACGGCAAGGACACCTACAACAACGACGACAACAACAGCAACAACATCAAACACAACAACAACAACAACAATAACAACAGCAGCCACAACAACAGCAGCAGTAGCAACAACAACAACAACAACATCAGCATCAGCATCATCATCAGCAGCATCCTCATCAGCATCATCATCATCGTCATCACCATCAGCATCATCATCAGCAGCATAATCATTTGCATTAGCATCGTCATCATCAGCATCAGCAACATCATCATTGTTGTCATCCTCGTCATCATCATCACCATCATCGTCATCATCGTCATCGTCATCGTGGTCATCATCATCACCATCATCATCAGCATCGCCATCATCATCATCAGCAGCAGCAGCATCAGCATCACCATCCTTACCATGATTATCAGCAGCATAATCATCGTCGGCAGCGGCATCACCATCAGCTACAGCAGCAGTTTCATCATCATCATCATCATCAGCATCATCATCATCATCATCATCAGCATCATCATCCTGTTTCGTTCGCATCCTCCTCCTCCTCCACTTCCTCCCCCACTTCCTCCACCGCCTGCTCCTCCTTCTCCTCACCATCATCAACATCATCATCATCATTATTATCATCATCCGCATCATCATCATTACCATCATCAGAAGCATCAGCAGCATCATCAGCATCAGCATCATTATCCTCATCAGCGTAATCAGCATCGTCGTCATCCTCATCTTCATCAGGAGCATCATCATCAGTATCATCATCCTCAGCATCATCAGCAGCCCCATCGCCATCGCCATCATCATCAGCATCATCAGCATCATCATCAACAACAACGGAAACAACAAAGACGACGACATCGACAACAACATCAACAGCAACGACCAGAGCAACAACCACAACAACAGCAACAACAACAGCCCCAGCATCATCAACATCAACATCAACATCACCATCATCATCATCATCATCATCATCATCATCATCATCATTATCATCATCGTCATCATCATCATCATCATCATCATCATCATCATTAGCACCATCATCATCAGCAGCAGCATCATCATCCTCAGCATGATCATCAGCAGCATAATCATCAGCAGCATCAGCATCATCATCATCATCATCATTATTAGCATCAGCATCGTCATCAAACTCAGCATCATCATCAGAATCAGCATCATCATCATGAGCAGCAGTAGCATCATCATCATCATCATCATCGTCGTCGTCAGCGTCATCATCATCACCATCATCATCATCATCAGCATCAGCATCATCATCATCATCAGCAGCAGCAGCATCAGCATCATCATCATCATCAGCAGCAGCATCACCATCATCAGCAGCAACAGCAGTAGCAGTATCATCATCAACAGCATCATAATCAGCATCATCATCAGCAGCAGCATCATCATCATCGTCAGCATCATAATCATCATCATCATCATCATCATCATCATCATCATCATCATCATCATCATCATCATCATCATCATCATCATCATCATCATCATCCTGTTCCTCATCCTCCTGCTCCTCCGCCTCCTGCTCCTCCTGCTGCTGCTCCTCATCCTCCTCCTCATCCTCGTCCTCCTCCTCCTCATCCTCCTCCTCATCCTCATCATCATCATCAGCAGCAGCAGCAGCATCATCCTTGTCCTCCTCCTCCTCTTCTGCGTCCCCTCCTCCTCCCTCTCCTCCTCCTCCTCATCCTCCTCCTCCTCCTCCTCCTGCTCCTCCTCCTCCTCCTCCCCCTCCTGCTCCTCTGCTCCTCCTCCTTCTCCTCCTCCTCCTTCTCCTCCGCCTCCTCCTTCTCCTCCTCCTCCGTCTTCGCCTCCGCCTCCGCCTCCGCCTCCGCCTCCGCCTCCTGCTCCTCCTCCTCCTCCTCCTCCTCCTCCTCTTCCTCCTCCTCCTCGCCCTCCTCCCCCTTTTCCTTCTCATCCGGCTTCAGCCTCTGGCTTTCCCAAAAATATCGCACGAGAGAAAACAACGACGAGAGTGGAGCGGGTACGGTTCCCAAGCAGCCCGGGATGTACCCAGCATGCGTCTGTTTCGACGCTGCCTCCCCTCCCTCCTCCATCCATCCACCCACATCCCCGCTCCCTCGCCCCCCCCCCCTGGGCAACCTGACTGAACGAGGATGAGGGGGGGAAGGAAGAGGGAAGAGGACAAGGGGGAGGGGGACGGGGAGGAGGTCTGGGGTAGGTAGGTTTTCGCGCCATAACTCGGACCTCGGACGGCTGTTCGGGAAGATCCGGGCCAGACGCTCATCGACGAGGCGCAGCTGATGGAAAAGACCCCAGGGCCGAAAAGCATCAAACAAAAACACGAAACCCTCCGAAGACCTCCGAAGATGGAAGAACACATCCTCCTCAACATCTTCCTCATCCTCCTCCTCCTCCTCCTCCTCCTCCTCCAGCTCCTCCTCCTCCTCCTCCTACTCCTCCTCCTCCTCCTCCTCCTCCTCCTCCTCCTCCTCCTCCTCCTCCTCCTCCTCCTCCTCCTCCTCCTCCTCCTCCTCTCCTCCTCCTCCTCCTCCTCCTCCTCCTCCTCCTCCTCCTCCTTCCTCTCCATCCCTCCTTCCCCCTCCCTCCGTCCCTCTCCTCCTTCCCTCCAGGGGCCGTCGCCGTCGTCGCCGCCGCCGTCGCCGTCGTCATGGTCCCCCGCGGTGCTCCCAGATTCTGTAGCCGCTCTGGTCGAAGCGGCCGAAGCTCGCCGGGGCGCCACCGTCCGCTCCCATCCTTGGCAGGGGTAAGGAGAGCGGGGCGTTGAGGGGAGGAGACGGGGCAGGAATGCCCTGCGGCCGGGCCGAGGGGGGATGAAGAAGAGAGGGGGGGGGGGAGAAAGGGAGCGGGAGGCATGGAGCGTCGGAGAGAGCGCAGGTCTTTTTGTCTACGGCGCCGAAGATGCCGGCACGGGTGGAAGACTGAGACGGTGCTGGCGCAGCTCCGAAAAATCACCGATGTCTACATCAGGGGAGTAAGACAAAACCAGTGAATCGTCATCAGCCTCATGTTGCATATCCTCATCAGCCTCAGGGAGGAGCGGGAGGGAGGGAGGGAGGGAGGGAGAGAGAGAAAGAGAGAGAGAGAGAGAGAAAAAAACAAATACCCTGCGACGTACCCAACCCATGTGCATCAAGTGGCAAGAGGACTAGGCCAACACTAGCAGGAACAACGACAATGTAGACACGGTGATTTGTTGCGCAATCTACATGGGACGCGCATGCGTTGCACGACTCACAGGACGACGATCGAAAGAACGAGGATCGAGGCCCCAGGCTCGAAGAAGAACGGGGACGGGAACAAGGGGCAGGAGGAGGATGGAATGGGGGGGTTAAAGGCCATCGCGGCAGCAGCAGCATGCATGGAGCAGGTGAAGCGGGGAATAGGACGACAATGAAGGTGGCGGGAGGAGACAGAAAAGCGCCGCGTTTTCAGGTACACGCTAAACACTGAGCGCTGCCTGCGCCATGTCGTCGCAGCGTTCCACAGGCTCAAACCTGCTTATAGTAAGTGCAAGAAGCGAGCGAGACTTCGCTCGCCCGCTAGCTTCTCCGCCTCATCCCTGCACATTTAGTGCGGGAGCTGAACGTTCGCAGGCGCGCCGCCAGGTCTGCGGGCGGCCCGCGGGAAATGACACATTTTCACAGATCGCAGCCCTCCAGGGATGGCGAAGTCTAATCTGAATCCCCGTATGACGTCACTCCGCTGGCCACCCCAGCACCCCTCGAAAGTGGCGACAGGTTCGCAGATCGCAGCCCCCAAGAGATGGCGAGGTCTAATCTGAGTCCCCGTGGGGCGTCACTGCGCTGGCCCCCCCAGCAGCCCTCGAAAGTGGCGACAGTTTCGCAGATCGCAGCCCCCCCCAGAGATGGCGAGGTCTATTCTGAGTCCCCGTAGGGCGTCACTCCGCTGGCCACCCCAGCAGCCCTCGAAAGTGGCGACAGTCTCACAGATCGCAGCCCCCCCACGGATGGCGAGGTCTAATCTGAGTCCCCGTAGGGCGTCACTGCGCTGGCCACCCCAGCAGCCCTCGAAAGTGGCGACAGTTTCACAGATCGCAGCCCCCCAGGGATGGCGAGGTCTAATCTGAGTCCCCGTAGGGCGTCACTCCGCTGGCCACCCCAGCAGCCCTCGAAAGTGGCGACAGTTTCACAGATCGCAGCCCCCCAGGGATGGCGAGGTCTAATCTGAGTCCCCGTGGGGCGTCACTCCGCTGGCCACCCTAGCAGCCCTCGAAAGTGGCGACAGTTTCGCAGATCGCAGCCCCACAGGGATGGCGAGGTCTAATCTGAGTCCCCGTAGGGCGTCACTCCGCTGGCCACCCCAGCAGCCCTCGAAAGTGGCGACAGTCTCACAGATCGCAGCCCCCCCAGAGATGGCGAGGTCTAATCTGAGTCCCCGTGGGGCGTCACTGCGCTGGCCCCCCCAGCAGCCCTCGAAAGTGGCGACAGGTTCACAGATCGCAGCCCCCCCAGGGATGGCGAGGTCTAATCTGAGTCCCCGTAGGGCGTCACTCCGCTGGCCACTCCAGCAGCCCTCGAAAGTGGCGACAGTTTCACAGATCGCAGCCCCCCCACGTATGGCGAGGTCTAATATGAGTCCCCGTAGGGCGTCACTGCGCTGGCCATCCCAGCAGCCCTCGAAAGTGGCGACAGTCTCACAGATCGCAGCCCCCCCACGGATGGCGAGGTCTAATCTGAGTCCCCGTGGGGCGTCACTCCGCTGGCCACCCCAGCAGCCCTCGAAAGTGGCGACAGATTCACAGATCGCAGCCCCCCCAGGGATGGCGAGGTCTAATCTGAGTCCCCGTGGGGCGTCATTTCGCTGGCCACCCCAGCCGCCCTCGAAAGTGGCGACAGTTTCACAGATCGCAGCGCCCCAGAGATGGCGAGGTAAAGATAGGTAAAAAGCAAGCGAGGAGAGGAGGAGCGAAGAGAAGAGGAGGGGTAAGAGCAAGAGAAGAGAAGAGGAGGCGGGAGGAGGCGGGAGGAGGAGGAAGGTGGAGACCACACCACAGTGCTCTATTCAAAACGAGTGCCCAACCCAGGAGGGTTGGGAAAAAAAGGTGAGGGCAAGAGAGAGCAAGAAGACGGAGGGAGAGGCAATCCGGAGGGCTAAAAGAGAGGGGAGGGAGGAGGGAAGGCAGGACCAAGGGGAGGAGACGAGGCAGAACAGGCAACCGACTTGAAATCTCTAAGGCATTTGGGGGGCACAGCCAACGATGGACTCTGCACGCAGCCTCGGGTGGCCTGTCGGGAGGCAACCCTTGCTGCACCCACAGGCGAAAATGGGGGGGAGCGGGGAGCGGGGAGGGAAGGGAGCCACTCCCTCCCCCCCTCCCTCCCTTCCACCCTCATTCCCTCCCTCCTCTCTCTCTCTCTCTCTCTCTCTCTCTATCTTTCTCTCTCTCTCCCTCTCTCTCTCCCTCCCTCCTCCTGCGTTCCTGGGAGGGTCCTTCCCCACGCCTCCCTGCTCTCGTTCTCTCTCTCTCTCTCTCTCTCTCTCTCTCTCCTCCCTCCCTCCCTCCCTCCCTCCCTCCCTCCCTCCCCCTCCTCTCTCTCTCCCTCTCTCCCTCTTTCTCTCTCTCTCTCTCTCTCTCTCTCTCTCTCCCTCCCTCCCTCCCTCCCTCCCTCCTCCTGCGTTCCTGGGGGGTGGTCCTTCCCCACGCCTCCCAGCCGTTCACGCCCGAGATGAAGAAGTGCGTGGTGAGGGTGGCCGCTGGGCGGCGCGCGCCCCGTCGGCCCGCGGTCGGTCGGGGCCGCCACCCTCAGGGCCCCCCCCGACGACGACGGCGACGACGACGGCGACGGCGACGACGACGACGAGAACGACGACGACGACGACGACGACGACAACAACGACGGCGGCGGCGGCGACGACGACGACGATGACGACCACGACGACGCCGATGGCAAGGACGACAACGACGAGGCAATAAGGCCGAGGCCTTCTCCTCCTCATCATCATCATCAGCAGCATCAGACTCATCATCCTCACCCTCATCCTCATCGTCCTCCTCCTCCTCATCAGCATCAGCATCATCATCATCAGCAGCAGCAGCATCATTATCAGCGACAGCATCATCATCATCATCATCATCATCATCATCATCATCATCATCATCATCATCATCATCGTCATCAACATCATCAGCAGCATCAGCATCAGCATGAGCATAATCATCAGCATTGTCAGCATCATCATTAGCAGCATCATCATCATCATTATCATCATCAGCATCAGCATCATCATCAGCAGCTGCATCAGCATCAGCATCATCATCAGCATCAGCATCAGCAGTATCAGCATCAGCATCAGCATCACTTTCATTATCAGCAGCATCATCATCATCAGCATCATCATCATCCTTATCCTCATGATCCTCATCCTCATTATCCTCATCCTCATTCTCAGTATCCTCATCCTCATCCTCATCCTCATCCTCGTCCTCATCCGCCTCCTCCCTCCTCCCTCCCTTTCCCTCCCTCCCTCCCTTCCTTTTTCTCTCTCTCTCTCTCTCTCTCTCTCTCTCTCTCTCTCTCTTTATATATATATAATATGAATCCTTTTCTCTTTCTCACTCTCTCCTCCACCTCCTCCAACGCCTTCTCCTCCCATCCCCTCCTCTCCTCCTCATCCTCCGCCTGATCCTCCGCCTTCACCTGGCCATCCTTCTCCCCCGCCTCGGCCTCCCTACCCTCCCCCTCCGCTGCTGCTGTTCTGCCTCCTCCACTCTCTCTCCTCGCCCCCTCCTCATCAGGGACAATAGAGCAAATATCAAAATGGGTCGGTTCATGTAGCGTCAGACGAAAAACAAATCGTAGGATCACCATTTTAAGCGCCACAATGCTAAAAGAAGTATGGCTCAAAACGTCGCGGATTTGTTGTCAGGGCTACCATGCGAACGCGTCGGATACCACTACGCTGAAGGTCATATGGACTCGCCGGTACCAACGTTATCATTATCACACATACACAATGGTGAGGGTCCATACACTCGGGTGGCGCGAAGAGGGGGCCAGGCGCATCTTGGCCCGAGGCATGTGGGCGGACAATGGGGGAGGGGGCAGAGGACGGTTTGAAAGAAGAAGTGGGGGGCCGCAAAATCGGAGAGCTTCCATGGCCTAAGGCATGGTATCCTCACACCGGTGTCCCGTACACCCATCTCCCACGCCCCTGATGCACTACCATACGTTCTAATGGGCCGAGAGAGGATGCTGGCCCTGTCTGGGCCCATCGGGCCCCCTCTGGGTCAAGCCAAAACACCGACTGCCCGTGTGCCTCCCCGGCCCCTTCCCCTCGCGCGGGGTGCCCGCGCAGCAGACGAAGCACCGCAGCATGGTGTCCGGGTCGAAGAAGGAAGCGCCCTCCTTGGGGGCTGGGGTGTTGAAGAACTTCTGGTGTCAGCATCTGAAGGGGCCCTGGGACACAAAAATAAATACACACAAATATAAGGATTCCCCATATTTCCCCATATTTTCTGGGTTTTTGTCTTCCCCCCCACTTCCCATATTTTCCCATATTTTCCTGGGAGTCGACGATGAATTCTGTCTGTGTTTTTTCCCCTCCTGAAGTATCGGCGGCGCGCCAGGGGAAGTGCGAGGCAGCGAGGCCTCTCAGAAGCCCACCAGCCTTCTGGGGAAGCCCTCCGCAGCTTCGGCGAAGGCTCAGAACGCTTTCCAGAAGACCAGAGGCCTTCTGGGCCTGCTGAGAAGGCCCGCCCCCATCTGCCTTCTCACATGGGCGCGCCGCCGACTTCTGAGGTCAGCAACGACCTTGTCTGGATGAGAGGCACGCAGGCCAACGGCAAACGACATTTCTGGAGAGGAGATCAAGCAGTGCGCACCAAAAACTGCGTGAGACAAGAGCGGGAGTAAGTACGGAAATACGGGTGCTCACAATACAGCGAGACAAGACACTGATGGCAAAAAAACATTCAAACGTCAGGATCCCCTAGACTACCACGGCGTAGCAACGCGACGGGTGAACACAAGCAATAACGATAGGGATGTAAAGGGCGAAGACAGGACCACGAGCAAGGTCGACAGGAGGAAGCACGACATCACGAGAGCCGAAGATATGAATTGAAGAACCATGATTCAGAACATTGGGCACATGTTCCAGAAGTTGCTTCGCATAATCTGAAACAGCTGATTTGTTCACGCTTGAGGGACGAACGTACTTGCGAAACTGGGCCAGCTTTCAAGCAAAACGGTTAAGAAACGCTGGCCAAGTTTTTCAGGAGGAGATGTCTTGATCAGATACTCGACCATAATACGATTGGAAGAATGTCGTCAAGTCCTTAGGGATCCTCCTCCACCTCCAGCTCCCGACCTTCCTTCCCCGTTACGCCTCATGCCAGAAGGCGGGAGAACTTTGGAGTCAGGTCGTCATCATCAGCAGCAGCCCCACAGCATCGTCATCATCGTCACCATCACCATCACCATGACTTTAACCATAGCCGCCGGCATCATCAATCTCAGCAGCAGCAGCATCACCAGCATCCTCACCATAATCATCACCATCACCACCACCATCATCATCATCATCAGCATCATCATCCGCATCATCGTCATCAACGTCAGCATCAGCATCTTTAGCAGCCTCGTCATCATCATCACCCATCCTCATCATCATCATCATCACCACCATCATCATCATCATCATTATCATCATCGTTAGCATAATCAGCATCCACAGCATCATCATCGTAATCACATTTCTCATCATCATTAACATCGTTATCATCATCATCGTCATCATTACCATCGTCTTCATCATCATCGTCATCATCATCCGCATTATCATCATCAGCATCCTCATGCTCATCCTCATCAGCATCATCGTCGTCATCGTCACCGTCATCATCGACATCATCATCATCATCATCATCAGAAGCAGCATCATCATAGTCATCCCCATAATCATGCCCATCACCATCAGCATCAGCATCACCAGCATCACCATCAGCATCATCATCATCAACATCAACATAATCAGCATCGGCATCATCATCCCCCTTCCATAGTTCCCCTAATCCTCCGCATCATCACCATCACTGTCACAATCAAAATCAGCAGCATCATCACCAGCACCATCCGCATAATCACCATCATCATCATTATCATCATCAGCAGCAGCATCATCATTATCATCAGCATCAGCAGCATCATCATCAGCAACATCACCAGCATCATTTGCAGCACCATCATCAGCATCATCATCAGCCGCATCGCCCGCAACATCATTTATGTCATCAGCCGCATCAGCATCATCGTCATCATTACCATAATCATCAGCATCATCAGCAGCACAATCAGCATCGTCATCCTCATCGTCATCGTCATCATCAGCGGCATCCGAATAATCATCCTGGTCATCAGCATCCGCATCATCACTGTCATAGTCTTCATCACCATCCTCCTCAACATCATCCGCGTCCTCATCCTCATCATCATACTCGACATCATCAGCATCATCATCAGCATCATCATCAGCATCATCATTATCAGTATCATCATCATGATCAGCATCATTATCATCATCATCAACATCATCATCACCCCTCCATCTTTACCCTTATCCTCCTCCTCCGCCTCCTCCCTCGTCCTCCTCCTCCCCATCCTCCTTCCAAATACCCATCATTCGCCACCCCCGTCCGACCCACCCTCTCCTCAACTTCATATCCTTGCTCCCCGTCCTGCGTATGCCCCCTCCTCCTCCGCCATGTCCAGTCGTACCTCCGCCCTGCGGCGTCTTCCATTTGCCATATGCGCAACAATCCCGCCTCCATCTTCGCCCTCTCCACTCTCGCTCCCCCCTCCCTCGCCTTCTAACCTCCTATCCCCTCCCTCCCTGCTCATCCGTCCTTATCGTCCTCCTACTCCTCCTCGTGTTCCTCCTCATCCGCATCATCCTCCTGATTCTCGTCATCCTCATCATCATCATCATCCTCCTCCTCCTCCTCCTCCTCCTCCTCCTCATCATCATCATCATCATCATCATCATCATCGTCATCGTCATCATCATCATCAGCCTCATCATCGTCATCATCATCCTCATCATCATCATCATCATCACCATCGTCATCATCATCATCACCATCATCATTAGCATCATCATCATCATCATCATCATCATCATCATCAGCATCGGCATCACCATCATCAGCATCCTCCTCCTCAGCATCATCATCACCATCAGCAGCAACATCATCAGCATCCGCATCAGCAACAGCATCGTGAGCATCATCAGCATCATCGTCATCGCCATCGTTATCACCGAACACAACCGTGTCATCGTTATCCTTATCCGCCACAGCAGCATAACCATCCGAAGCATCACCCTCATACGCCGCATCGTCATCAGCGGCCCAACCATCATCAGCAGCATCATCAGCAGCAGCCGCATGGTAATCATCATCAACATCATCATCAGCATCATCATCACCACCACCAGCCGCAGCAGCATCGGCATCGACATCCCCTTCCCGCGTTCCCCACTCCTCCTCAGCATCACTATTGCCATCGTCTTCAACATCAGCAGCAGCATCATCAGCATCATCGGCATCATCATCCGCATCAGCATCATGATCCACATCGACATCGGCATCATCATCAACAGCATCATTAGCAACAATCATCAGCATCATCAGCATCATCATTATCATCATCATCTTCATCATCAGCATCATGATCATCAGCATCAACACCATCATCGTTAGCATCAGCAGCATCAGCATTATCATCATCGGCATCCTCATGATCATCAGCAGCAGCAACATCATCATCAGTATCGTCATCAGTATCATCGCCATCATAAGCCTAATCGACATCGACATCGTCATCATCGTCGTCATCAGCAGCATCATCGTCATCAGCATCAGCAGCATCATCATCATCCTCATCAATATCAGCATCAGACTCAGCATCCGCATCATAAGCATCATCGTCATCATCATCATCATTATCGTCATCACCATCATCATCAGCACCATCAGCCTCATCATCAGCATCATCAGCCTCATCATCATCGTCGTCGGCATCACCGGCAGCAGCAGCAGCGGCATCATTAGCATCACCATCAGCATCATCACCATCATCACCCTCGTCAGCATAACGATCAGCATCAGCATCGTCATCCTCAGCAAAATCATTAGCGTCGTCATCTTCAGCAAAAGCATCATCAGCATCATCATCCTCATCAGCAGCATCACCATCCACATCATCAACAGTGCCCGTGTCATAAGCATTCACATCTGCAACCTCGCGGTTCCCATCGTCTTCATCGTAGCCATCAGCATAGTGCTCCCAATCGTCATCATCGCCATCGGCAGCTTCAACAGCATCATCATAATCAGTACAAACAGCATCAGCATCATCAGCAGCCGCATCAGTATCAGTATCAGCAGCATCATCACCATAATTACCAGCATCGTAGCCATCATACACTTCATAGTCCGCACCCTCTCGTAAGTATCGTCAGTATCATCTTCAGCAGTGTCATACTTCCCATCATCATCCTCATCAGAATCCTCATCATCATCATCATCAGCATCATCATCAACATCGGCACCACCATCATGATCACAATCACCACCATCATCAGCATCTCCATCAACATCATCAGCATCAACCTCACCAGCAGCAGCAGCACCATCAAGACCATCATCATCATCATCATCCTCATCATCATCATCGTCGTCGTCGTCATCATCCGCATCATCATCACGACCATCATAGTCATCGTCGGCATCGTTATCATTGTCGTCCTCGTCCTCATCCTCATCCTCATCCTCCTCCCCCTCATCATCCTCCTCATACTCTTACTCATCATCCTTGTCCATCATCCCTCCCTCCCTCATTCTATTCCTGTCCTCCCTGCCCTCTTGCCCAAATTCCACCTCTCGCTCCTCCTCCCGTGGCACAGCTTGGCGAATGGACGAGCTAGCACAACCTAATTACCCCACGCCGCCCGCGTCAAGCTAACGATCTACACGTGAGGGCGCAGAAATCCAAGGGCCATCATCAGCACCACCATCATCACCACGAGCACCACCACCATCACCACCACCACCAACATCATAATCACCATCATCAGCAGCAGCGTAAACCTCATGAGCATCATCATCACCACCACCAGCATGATCGTGATCGTCACCATCATCAGAATCACCATCATCACCATCGTCATCATCATCGTCATCATCACCATCATCATCACCATTACCTTCATCATCACCATCATCAATATAATCATCAGCATCCTCATCATAATCATCGTCGTCACCGTCATCATAACTAGAAGTTAATCATCCTTCATCCCTCCTCCTCCTCCTCATTCCTCTTGTCACGATACGTTAAACTATTCCTGTCATTCGTAAGTATGTTCGTCGTATCGTGCATGTCGTTCTTCGTCTCTTCGCATTCGTACTATGTTGCATGCATTGGTACTGTTATTGTACAATAAATGCAAATATTGTTCTTGATGGTTTGGTTGTTCCCATTGTTTACGGAATCATTGCTATTCTCTCCCTCACCGTTCCCTCCCACTCCTCCTTCTCCTCCTCCCCCTCCTCCTTGTCCGCCTCGTCATCATCCTCCTCCTTCTCCTCGTCCTCTTCCTCCTCCTCCCTCCTCCTCCTCCTCCTCCTCCTCCTCTCCTCCTCCTCCTCCCTTCTCCTCCTCCTCCTCCTCCTCCCCCTCCTCCTCCCCCTCCTCCTCCTCCTCCTCCTCCTCCTCCTCCTCCTCCTCCTCCTCCTCCTCTCGCCCCCTCTTATCGCCTTGCTCCACCCCTTGCGGCTCTCGGGTCAGAACTCGGGCCTCCCGTGGCCGTTCGGGACAATCCGGGCACCCCCAGAACGCTCTCGGCGAGGGGCAGCTACGACTGAGCATCCCGAGGCGAGAAGGTCTCCGAATGCCGACGACCACTCCCGAAGAGCCCGAAGAGCAAATTCGCCTGGGCTGCCCCTCCCCGAGCAATGGGGAAACCCACAGGCAATTACCTTTTACCAGTGTGCACTCTTCCAGAATTTCGAGGCGATTCCAGCCGTGCCAACGAGGGCCTCCCAGGAGGCCCAAAAGGCGAAAACGACGGAAGGATAGCTGCGTCGGTATCCCATTCTCTTTCTCTGAGACCCCCCCGCCTCTCGACCAAACGTACCGAACACCGCGGGTGGCGGCCGTCCTCAAAGGTCCTAACCGCTTCCCTGGGGGGGGAAGATTCAACCCAGATCCATGTTTGATGGTCCCAGGGCCCGATAACGGCCCACGTAAGCTGAAATCGAAAAAAAACGCTGGGCTGGAATGAAAAAACATGCCGTCGGAGATACAGCTTCCTCTTTGTTTGTTTACGGAGATCTGGCTTTCTGGCCGTACCTCGGGTCTCTGGTATTCGTTCGAGACGATCCTGCTGCCCCTGGAGCCCCCGCGACGAGGCGCATCTGATGGAAACCACCCCCAGGCCCTGGAAACAACCCCAGACCTCCGCAAGCAACCGGAACCTCCGAAAACGCTTAGATCTGACTCTCCCTCCTTTGGAGTCCCGAAACGGTGCAATGACATGACACACCGTGCGGTGACCTCGAAATCCTCCAAGACCTCACAGCACGGTCCGTCACCGCACGGTCTTGGGACCTCGGACGCCCCAGTCGCCCGAGACGTCCTCTGAGAACGACCCGAATCCCAAAAACGTGCGGTGACCCCGGATCCCCACCGACTCACCGCACGGTGTCATCACCCCGTTTGGGGGCCCCCGACCTCCCCGACCAAACGTGCCGAACACCCGGAGGTCGGCCGTCCTCCATGGCGAACAGCACGCCGCCGAGGGGCGCGCCGAAGGCGGCGGCGACTCCGCAGGACGCGCCCGCGGCCACGAGGTCTCGTGCCTCGGGGGCAGCCAGGAGGGCGCCGGCGGCGAGCAGCGGCGAGCAGCGGGGCCGGCGGCCTGGCGAGCGGCGAGCGGCGGCGGCGGCCAGCAGCAGCGGCGGCCTGGCGAGCGGGGAGCAGCGGCGGCGGCGAGCAGCGGCGGGAGGGCCACGTCTCGAGGAGGGCAACGAGGACAGAGGGGGGGCACGAAGAGACGATTCGTCGTTTGCCGTCCTTCTTGGGCCTCCTGGGGGCTTCTCGTCACCACGGCTGGACCCGCCTCGAAAAGCGGGCCAGGAGGAACCCTGGAAGGCCTCCAGGGACCGCTTTCGAGCGGATTTGGGCCGGGTGGGGTCTCGGGCCTCTAGCCGCGGGGGCGACGGCGAGGAGCAGCAGCAGCGGCAGCGGGAGGACCACCTCTCGGGATATGCGACGAGGAGCCCTGAAGTTCGAGGCTCGAGGCTCGAACTCCGAGGTTCCTGGCAGTTGCTCGCCCTTGCTGGGCCTCGGGGCGGCTCCTCGTCACCACGGCGGCCTTCCCCTCAAGATTCTGGCCCGAAGGCACCCCTGGAGAGGTCCAGGGGGGGAGCTCTGACCCCTGGACCCCAGGCCTCCTCGCGTCGCGAGAACAGCACTATGTACGACTGGGGCCGTCAGAAGGCCACCCCGGCTGAGAAGCCGGTCCCGGGGAAGGGGTCCAGACCTCCGAAGGTCCACGCTGTCAAAAGTCACGACGTCGGAGGGCCACGAAGAGGGGAGGGGGCGGGGCGCAACATGGCCCGAGGCGCGCTCGCGGAGGGGGCGGGCCAGGGAGCGCGGCAACAAACAAACACTAAAGGAGAGGAGCACGAAGAGGAAGGAGAAGAAGACTAAGAGGAACAAGAAGAGGAACAAGAAGAGGATGAATAAGAAAAGAAGGAACAAGAAGAAGAAGAAGAAGGAGAAGGAGAAGCAGAAAGGGAAGGCGAAGAAGATGAAGAAGAGGGAGAAGAAGAAGAAAAAGAAGAAGGGGATGAAGAAGAGGAATAAGAAGAAGAATGATAAGAATAAGAAGGTGCTATGAACTCTCGGAGATATCATGGCCCCAGCCATGACATCCACACACACACACACCTGTTCCTCTCTCACACACACACACACACACACACACACACACACACACACACACACACACACACACACACACACACACACGCTTGGACGCCTCCAGACCACGAGAAGGGCGGCGGCGGGGAGGAGGAAGGACCACGAGGAGGGGAGGCGCTAGGCGGCCACGAGGAGGAAGGGCGAAGGACCTGGGAGGAGGAGGAGGTGTGGGGGCACGATCCGCGTGCGGGGTGCGCTGAAGGGAGCGCAGCAAAAGCAGCGGCGGAGGAAGGAGGCAGAGGAAGGCAAGGAGTTGGGGGAAGGAGGGGAAGGGGGGAGCGGGAGGTGGTGGAGCTAGGAGGAGGAGAAGCGGGATACAGGGGAGGAGGGGGGAAGGGTGCAGAGATGACCCAAGGAGGAGACCCTGGTGCCAGGTGTGAGTCCGGGATGAAGAGGAAGAAGGAGGGAGGGGGAGGAGGGAGGAGGGAGGAGGAAGAAGAGAGGGAGGAGGGGACAGTGGAGTCAGCCGTGGAGGAGATGGATGAGAAGCAAAAGCTCTCTGGGGATGCCACTGGGCCAAGGCGGGCAACTCTCCCCGCAACGAGTGCACTTACGCAGCGCCCTGAACTCAGACATGCCTTCGCCCTCCCAAGCGACTGGGGAGCATCGGGCCTCTTGCCTTCCTGATCGCCGGGCTTCTTGTGAAGGCCGGATCGGACCACTGGCATTCGGGTGGGGGCATTGGACAAGGAACCCTTAGATAAGGAACCCAGGGTCTGGAAGCCGGTGGAGCTCCAATCGAGCATCGGCCATGAATATCAGCGCCGCTCTCTTCAAGTTAAGGAATCTGCAACCTCCTGGGAACATTCCTTAACGAACGCCCCCACCGTATCGGTTCCAGCATACGTTGATATGGGGTTATACGCTCAGGGGCTTCTGCTCAGCATGTCGCGGCGCCTGCCCCTGCGACACGCTATGCCCTGCGAGCTGACAGCGTGTCGCTCCATTTCGCGGGGCGGGAGGCTGAGAAGAGCCCGGGACGTTGCCGCTTTCAAATGGGGACGTGGTTCGCGCCGCGCCGAAGCGCGGTGGGCCAGAACCACTTCGGCGCTTCGGCGCGGCGCGGTGGTTCGCGCCGCGCCGAAGCGCCGAAGTGCGACACGCTAAGCCAAAGATCCTGACTGCAAAGCCTTCGGCGCTTGGCATGCCAAGGGGAAGCGCAGCCAGCAGTGCGTTCGAGCCCGGGGCGCTCGGTGGCCTGGTGCCCCCCACCCCCAGGGTTCGCCAGGCTGCCCCTCTGCCAGCCCCAGGGCGACCAAAGTGGAGCCGCACGAGGCGGCTCCGCCTAGGCACACAGGGCGGTCCGGAGCCGCTTCCTGACGCTCGCTGCCCGACGAGCGTGCCGCCACATCAGACGAAGCTGGGACGAGGATAAGATCGGGTGAGGATAACTCGAGAAGCTCTGAGATCCGGCGGTTCTGGAGCA